TAAAAACAAGTCATTGCTTTTGAACCTAGTGCATATTCTTCCAGGATGCCAGGTTGCACATTCTCGGCTGGATGCCTAAATAGCGTCAGTTGTAGGAGCTCAGAACACAAACTGGTAGTTGTCTGGCATATGATTTGGATTCACATTGTGGTGACATCCTACGTGCTTACAGCCTGCGTGAATTAGCATGTTACACTTTTCACTCAACAGTCGCTCACATCTGCACTGAGACCAGAGACCTGAATTTTGGAGAACATTTTGCTGGATTAAGAGTGCCAAACTTCTAACAACAGGAACATCTGGATCCAATGAGATATTACTCAACGCTTGGCTCAGACACAAGCGTTTTATTTGTCAGCCATTGTTAGCACTAACTACATCACTAGGAACCTTGCTGGGATCAGTGTGATTGTTCTGTCACATGCTGGTCAACAATGTCCAGGGTTTTATTTGAATCTGATCCACATGCCTCAGCAAAGCGGTTCCATCTGTGACGACCTCCTGCATCTGCGAGTGCTCCTTGGGGATGGGCAGCCCCTGTGTCGGAGGATGCAAACTGCTGCTGCTGTTCTGAGTAGGGTGATTTCAGCTCATGGTGTTTGCCCCTCCATGGACAAATCCCCAGGACTACGGTATACCTCTTCCCCAATGGGATTGTAATCCCACAGCCATCATTTTAGCTGGATTATTAAATGTGCAGATGGTTGATAAACCTATGGACATTGCTGCTTTACTGAAAGGTTTCAGTTTTCAAGAAGGTAAAATCTCACCATCACTAGTCCTTTTTGCTAAAAAGCACTTGCATTTAACCTAGAACTTGTATCTAAAATTGGCTGAATTTGTTCTCAGCACTTCCCACGCTATGTTTTCTGTATCTTAGTATCATATTTGCTGTTATTATACTGCCTCTGCTTTCTTTTACCAGGCCACCACAGCAAGCAGTTGCTCTTTTTCTTCTAATTTTACTCCATGGAAACCAGAAAACATCATCTCTGCAATCTGCTTTATTTCCCCATCATGTTTCATAATCCCAGACCATTCTGGAAGCAGGAGAAACTGGTAACAACCATGCCATCAACTTGATGGAAATAGATGCAGCTAAAATTTGAAGCCCATCACACATGATGTCTTGTTCAAAGCATGTGGAGAAGACACCATTTAGATAACATACTAAACCTTTTCATTTCCATCTGTTCTTGCTGGCTCCAGACAAAGCTAGCTGGGAATGGGTCAGAAGGCAATAGCAGAAACTAAGTAATAGGGCCAGTGCAAGTGACAGGGGAACATTCTGCAACAGAGGGAGCATGAGATGTAGCTGGACAGTCGCACCAATCCCACCAACCCTTCCCGGAAGCATTCAAAGAAATACCTCTGTGGTGACCAGTGTGGGGAAAAAAAAAGACAACTTTTATTGCTGGGGAATATGAGCAACTGTAGGAGGAGTTGGGACAAACAAAAAGAAAAAAAATAAGATCCCCATGGTGATGAGGCAGAGAGAGCTTTGAGGCCAGAGTTACCTTCATTACTGTCTAATAAGTTTGAAGATTTTCCAGCTTTTTTTGCCAGCTGAGGCAAAAGCATACTGTTTGCTCACACTGTGGTGGGAGGGAAGGGAACATGCAGCCACTGTACAAACAGGAAGACTGCAGGGTCTCGTTGGCCTGTGGACAGGGAGGGTCCAGATGGGAATATACATCTTGGAAGTTAATGCTCTGAGATGTCTCAGCACTCCCATCCTTTCCTACCCAAAACACAGGGCCTGGCTCACACTCCAGCTACAAGTTGAGCCCCACAAGCTCCTGACAGCTCATTCAGAGGGGGGTTCCCAGGGGATCCCTGGGACCTCTCTGAATGTACAAAAGGTGAGTAGCTTGTGCAGCTGTGATCAAGGGAAGAGCCTTGATCTGGGCCAAGCACTCACCTTGCCTGTGGACTTGACCCCCTTCCAGATGCAGAAGTAACAGATGATCCACGCCAGCAGGAGACACAGAGCCAGCTCCCAGCGCAGACTGCCCAGGTGCTGGATGCCGTCAGATATCTTTAGTACTCTCCTCCTGCAATGAGGGGAAGCAAAGGACCATCCAAGTGTCACTGATGTTGGCCACCAGTGTTCCCAACACCACTTTGGTTCTCACCACACCTCCACAGTGCCTGATAACTCTGGGTAGAAGGGATATCTTACTAGTAAGGCCCAGGTCTGAGCTGCAAGGATTCTTTAGAGGAATCAAGCAGTGCTCCCTTCTTAAAAGTGCTACCAGCCTCGTGGATCGCACATGGATACCTGCTTCTAAACTCATTCCAGTGCTGGCCTGCTGGGCCAAGACACTTCTATCCTCCCACCATCTCTCTTGTCCTTTTTGGGGAAAGAGCTCTCTCTGTACAAGAACATGCAGCACACTGCACACACAAGCTCCACCCAGGCCTTCTTTCTTGCACGTTACAAAGATCATCTACATTTCTGACATGCTTTAAACCTCAAAGTGAAAGATACATTGCACTTACCACACAGAATTGGTCAGGACCACCCAAGAAGCAAGGGTCTCTAACTCCTTCTCCATAGCACTGTTCTTCTGTCCTTAGGAGCAGCTACATATTTCACTTCATGACTCAGAGCAGCAGAGCATCCCATACCATGACAAAGATCCAGCCAGAACCACAATAATCTCCATTGCACAGTCAGAAGAGGCTGCCTTGGGCATTGTCTTTCAGCCAGTATGAAGATAGGATGATGGACCTTGGTTCAGCTAAGGTCTCAAGGTCTCACCCTGGCCATAGAGCAGCTTTCCATGTCATGTGTATGTCAAATCTTCCTCATCACTTACAGAAGTAAGAATCACCCTCCTCCATCTCCTACACCTCAGAGACAGATCTGGGTGTGAAACACCACAGTGCAGTCCCAAAACTCCAAGCCTGAGACAGGCAGAAGGGACATGCACTACCCTGGAGCCCAGCAGCAATGCCTGCCCTGCTCTCCTAGCAATTACCCTAAAATAAAACCTGCTCTCTTGCAGAACTGCAGACTAAGACCCACTGCCTCCCTTCCTGCCCCACAGCCTCGGAGCAGATTGAGAGGATGAGAGAGGGATCAGAAGAATCACTCTGCTCCACCAGATACATTTGGGTTCCTGCTTCTAAGGACATGGACTCTGTAACCAGTGGGGAAAGGGTGCCAGCAGAGTGTAACTAACTGGGCACTGTACTGCAGGCAGAAGAGGGCTCAAGAAGCTGCCATCAGCCCACTGACAGGTCTGTGCTCTCGAGGAAGTGGTGGCCTCCTACTCCCCTGCCCCGGGAGGGCAGGAACAGATGCTGCATCAGAAAAATGGACAATGGAAATTAACAGCCCTGTGTGCTGATTCCCCAGTGACACAGAGATGGTCACTGCAGTGATGGGAACATCAACTTTTCCAGCAGCCAGGCTCAGGAAAAGCAGTCTAAGGCAGGCCAACATCTAATCATGTGTGAGCAGCAGGCAGAGGGAGAGTGTAGGTTCAGGGAGCGCACAGGAGACAAAGAAAGTTTAAAAACTTCAAAATTTAAAAACAGCATCCAGGGATGCCCCAAAGGTACTGTGTGCACTGCACACTGACAGCACCTGGCAATGCTGCCGAGGGCAGAGCCCTCCATCCATCCAAACACACAAGGGAAATTCACAGCAGCAGCAGAGGCGTTACTTGCACAGTCTGTTAGCCAGGGCTCAGTACTTAAGTGTGCCTCCTCTCCCAGAAGATGCTGAGAACCATCACAGACCCCAAGCCAACAGGCCTTTGTCTTCATGCCAGAAATAACACTACTCTGTACCCCAGGCTAACTAACACAAGGGGAGAAAACAATGAAAACACGGGAGAAAATTTCAGCGTGAATTAAGCTGACCCCAGCACTTCATTTCGATTTTGATGAGCTTATCTCCTCAGGATAGCTTGTATATTAGTCACTCTGAAGTATAAACATCAACTTTTTTTTTTTTTTAAATCTTTAAGATGAAGACTAGCCTGCATACAAGTCATCACCCACCATGCCAAAGCCTCCTAGGAATGTGCTGGTATCACCACAGCAGCACGGATTCAAAGGAAAGATCACCTTCTGCATCACTAGCATGAACTCATACAGTATACCACAGGGCTTTAAAGCCTCCTCTTCATGAGCACGCTACAGCTTGCAAAACATGCAGACAAAAACCCATCGCAGAGCTGCTGCTTTGTGGATCACCACAGACCTCACCTCACTCCCACCTATAGTCTTGGCACCCATGTCCTGAGCACGGTTACACTGGGTGCAGCCACCAGGCAGGTGAAGGACTGCATGGGGCAGACTACTCCGAACAGAACAAGAGCAATGGATAATCCAGCAGATGTGTAAACTGTAATCCAAACCATAGGGTAATGACTGATACACCTTGAGGGAGCACTACTAATTTTATTGACATTTGCACCCTGGGTGACTCTGAACCAAAGCTTCAGAATGGGGAACAGGCAGCCAATTCACCTCCATTGCAGGAGGAAACAACTGCATGAGGAAGTCCACAGCTGGCAATGAAGAACAAGGGAAGAGGCAGGAAGAGAAGCAGCACAAATGGAGAAAGAGAGTGAGCAGCAGCAAAGGAGCAATAAGGGAGAAAAGGATAACAAATGAAACATCAAGGACCAGAGGAGGCAAAGCATCGGTGAGGTAAGGTCTTGCCCAGTCAGGTAGCCATTACTGAGGTCAGTGAGACCGAGAAGCCCAAAAAGTCCAGAGGACAGGAATATGACATCAGAGAAGGATGAAGTCAGATGGCTCTAAGGCATGCCAGCACAGCTCCAGACAAACACTACGAGCCCAGCAATGTTACCCTCCCTGACAGCACTACCCCAAAGAGCCTTCACCCTGACCTGCCCACCTTCCTCTCTTGTGTCCTCTCCTGGAAAGGATGGGCTAATAGGACGTGCCGTTGCATGGTTTGTTTCTTGCCCAAGGAAGTTATGTCCCGAAGGAAAGGTGGGTACAGGCCTGTCCTTTACTTACTCCCAGAACTCAATGACAGGGGAGGTGGCGTTTTCACTGGTCACGTTGAGCGTCGAGTTTGCCTTCTGAAGCTCCATGCAGTTCCCTGCAGGAGAGACCCAGGGAGAGAGAGAGCATAAGTAGCAGTGGCTGGAGTACCAGAGGATCTGAAAAATCCCTCCCTCTCCATCCAGAGTGTCAACACTCATTGACATTGACTCTGAGACAGATTTTGTATAGTCCCAAAAATGCACAAAAGGAGTGTCCTCCAGGGTAAGTCTGGCAAGAAACCTAGGACTATTAAAACTGTGGCATTTAATTTATGCTTCCAGTAGTCACGGTGAGCAGTACCGACCAGCACTGGGTCTATGGCTAACAACCAGGACAGGATGACTGGAAGATGCCAAGAAAGAAGGTGCCCACAGTGGATGGAGCCCAGAGCAGGAGCTGCCGGGGAGGCCACCACTTCATGGCCCTGGCCGGGTGCTGTGAATGGCTGGGCAGTGCCAGCAGTGGTACTCTCTGGCAAAGACCCAGATCAAATGAGCCTCTTCTCCAAAAGCGCCAGCAGTATTGCAGTCACCTGGCACTCCCCAGCCCTGTGACCAGCGGTTCCACCCAAGCAGGGGCGAGCCACTCTCCTGAGGTTTGACCCTGCACAGCAGCAGCTTTCCCTCAGCCAGGAGCCAGTGGAGGATGGGGAGGGGGCTCCGCACCCACCTGTGTTCCACTCATGGTCACAGCTGCCCCAAGGGAGGTCGATGGTGAAGGAACTGAAGAGATAAAAGAAGGCCCAGGCCAGGACAATGATGTAGTAGAAGTTCAGCAGTATGACGATGACCTGTGAGGCATAGCCAATTCCTGCAGAAAGCAAGACCCAAAGGCTGGTGACCCACATGCCAGGGGATGGAAGCAGGGCTCTCCTCGGGAGGTGCTCACTCAATATTTTCATCTGCTCTGCATTTTGACTGCACTGCCAGATGAATGCCAGTGGGGTGGCTACCAGAGCCATCATCCCCTCCCCATAGCCCACCGCACTGTATCATCAAGGGTCCAAGCAGGGGCCCTGCCGATCCCTTCTTCCCACCACCCCACCGCAGCCTTCCCTGGTAACAATGGGAGGGAGTCTGAGTAGGGGATGGGCAGATTATGATTGGAAAGCCACCCAAAGGGACAGAAACATATGATGGTTCTCTGCCTGCTGAATAACAACTCTTCTACCAAAATTCACTTTTTATTTTGTTTGCTCAACTCTTTTCACTTTTGTTTGGGAAGCTTTTGTATTAACACACCTTCTCTGGGAGGTGCTGGAGGACCATCTAAAAGTTTTGGTATGGGGAGGAAAGAGGGGAAGGTAGGGGGAGGAGGCAACTGAGACTTTCAGAGAAATCATGGAAAAGGGCTTGAGGCTGGATGACTGTGCTGAAACAGTGCTAGAAGTGGATCTGACTGCTAACGATTTACTAAGACAACTGACAGTTTTCACCATCAAGGTTTTAAGCCATCTGCAAACTCAGGAAAATAACATAGCATTGACTTAAAAAAATAGTAGTATATTTTAGGTTCCTCATAACCACCAGAAGTATTTTCATCATTTTGTTCGTGGAGGACAACCTCGATTGGGCACAAAGCTCCTGGACAAAGCCACACCCACAAAGAAGGAAACCAGGATCCAACATAATGATGGAAACTGTTTGTTAAGAAAGAGGATCGATTTTTCCAGTGTGATTTTGGAAAGGGGGCAGCCAGTAGCCCTCCCAGGCTGGGATCCCCAGGGGTGGGCAGCGGATGCATGGAGATAGGTAACAATCCAGACTGTGGAAGCATCACTGCTCACCACCCCAGGGCCCCAATGTACCCCTACCTCCCCATGCCCTCCTGGGCTCACCCCACTCACCTTCGAAGAGGGGACAGATCCTGCGCCAGGCTGTCACCCCTCCCTGGCTGGTGTACTGCCCCAGTGCTGTCTCCAGGAAGAAGACGGGGATCCCGCAGGTGAAGAGGAAGATGAGGTAGGGGATGAAGAAGGCACCTAGCAGATTCAAGCATCAGACAGGAAAAATAAGCCATGTGGGGTGACTGGGGTCAGGTCATCTCCAACCTGGCACTGGGCAGGTCCCTCCCAGGGGGCAACAGCCTGGGAGGGATGGGGGCTGCAGGGGCAGGAAGAATGCAGACAGGATGCTAGGAAAAAGGGATTTTCTTCATGTTTCATCTCCCAGAGTGATGTGATTGCATGAGAAACTCAATATTTAGAAAAGATGGAGAGGAAAGGAAAGTTTCTAGTCCTGATTTTTGTGCAGAAAGAGTGAAACAAGTTCTCAATAGCTGTATAGTAATACAGGAGAACACTCTGCTGTAAAACCCTTGTGACTTTTAATCAAGTTGGTGACTCCTTTTTCATCAATTATTCTGACTGAATATGCTGACAGGCCATGGATGACAACACAAAGGCACTGAGGAGCACACAGAGGCTGACACCTTCACCCAGTCTGTGGGTTTTCTCAATTTGCTCACCGAAAAGCAGCAGACATGCAAATGAAAAGCAGGTAGCTCAGGAAAGTATGTACCTCACACCAGCAGGCAGGGCTGCTCTCCTGTTCAAGCTCTGTCATGAAACCAGTCAGGGAGAGATAACAGGTATCAGGCTTTTTGATTACCCCAGGATAATGTTAAGTGCACTAATGGCTTTTACCCTGCAGAGCACAGGAGACAGGCCTGCAAGATGGTCCACGCTCCCTGTTGCACTCGCACGCTGCCAAAGCTGCTCAAGCCCTGCTGCAAAGGCAGGGACATGAGGAGCTGGCATGGAAAGGGATGGCCCCAAGCAGAGAGTGGTAGCTGGTCTATGGCGGGCTCTCAGGGTCGGAGGTGGCAACCCAGCCAGCCACAGACTGCATTTTCCCTGCATAGGACTTTTCTGTGCTGGTGAAATACTAACTGGATCTGGGCTTGTGTCGGTGGGGATGTATGGGACATAACAATCCCGGTGCACAAGTAAACTCAAAACCCAAGAGATTTCATTAAGGAGCTTAGCTAGCAGGCAGGGACAGGGAGAGGGAAGCGGGGCTTTAAGGACCAGCCAGAAGTCCCACCCCACATTCATCCCATACTTGCCATAGGAACACTAAAGAAATGGAACACTGCCTTACTGTCAAGCTGTGTTGCATACTGGTTTTGTGGTGATCTACAATTTCCAAAAGAGCCTTAACTATAAATGGTAACTATATGTAAGTTATTTAAGACTTCCTTGGACAAAAATGGGACTCTCCTTCACCAAGGAGCTAAGGTTTTCTTGTTGCTAGCATGTTTGCTGTCTGCAGTGTATTTTGCAGTTGTCAATTCCACAAAGGATTTGACAGGTTTGAAAATGCCTCTAAGTATCTTGCATCCTCAGAAGGATTACTTAATCCGTTCAAAAAAACCAACCACCGAAAAAACGCCTTACATATAGCTGGTATTACATCTTGTGTTAGTCCTAATATTAACTGGGGCAAGTGTTTTTCTCCCTTCTATATCTGCAGCCAATTCCGAGATGTACTTTTGTAAGGTAGAAGTCAGAACTCCACACACAGGAGACCTGCTCTGCACCAGAAGGGTTCAGAGCCACAGCCCTCCCTTTCTTGGAAAAAAATGCAATCAACACTATAGACAGGGAGAGCATCGCAGCAGCTCCCTGTGGGCAAACAGCAGCTGAAGGGATGCTGATAACTGGAAGCCCCAGGAGAACATGAGCATCTGCCCCCATGCTCTCCCTCTACCAGTAAATAGAAGTTGGTGAGGGCAAAGGGCAGGGGAAATGGTTGTATACCCACCATCCCCTCAACTCCCAACTTGCATGCAATCATATTATCATAAAGGTGGAGCCTATTTCCAAGAGAAATTATTCTTGTATAAAAGTCTGTATTTAAACTGCATCCAGGGAATCCCAGGGGAGGTCACTGAAGTAGTAGGTCGAGCTCTCCAGCCTGGGTTTCCCTTATTTGCAGCCTGTGGTCTGGCCTGATGCCTTCCTCAGCACCTCTGGTTATCTCAGGGTTCAGGCAGGTTTCACGCTTTGGAAGTCGTACCGGAGGGTCCTGACATACGGGCTGTGAAATGATGCAAAATTACGGTGGGGTGAAAGACGGATTTGCAGAGACATGTTTGGGCCCAGGGCTGTGATCTGCCCCACTCCCCTCACCCCCCAAGTGGGGTCACAGGCAGGATGAGATGACCCCACCCCCCCCGCCACTCCCCATCTCATTTCAGCTGGCAGAGGGCTGCTGCCAGCCCGCACAGGCAGGAAAGGACAGCGGGCAGGGGACTGCAAGAAGGAAAAGCTGGGAAGAGTCACCCAGCAGAGCTGCCCTGCACAACCCCTCCGGTGAGGCAGGGGGCAGGGAGGGGCGCCCGTGGCCGGGGG